TAATAATTGGAAAGAAAAAAAGAAAAAGAAATAAGAAAACCCGTAACTCCTCTAATCCTAATTATAATCAGCGTGATTTATGCCACGTGTCAAAAAAATAATGGAATCCGATTTATATTAAATATCGGCTGATCCGCTCAGAATTTAATCTCTATTTTTTTCATAAATTCTAATTTAATCCAATATATTAAGTTGAATGTATTTGAATATTTCAAAGGAGATTTTTAATATTAAAGTTATTATATATTTGTATACTTTAAAATATTTGAATATATGCTCGAATATATACAAGCTAGTTTAATTCAAATATGAAAATACATATTTTCATATTGATGTCCTATTTAAATTTTTATTGATTTATTTAAGTCTAACAAATTTGATCAATTATATATATGGGTAAATTACAACGACCACCCTTGAGGTATGGTTAAATTACGAAAAAATCTCTCTTGTTTAGATAATTACATCTACCCCTCAACTATGAATCTTCTTATATCTCCACCCTTATGGTGTAAAATTCAACATAATCATCTAGATTCCATGGAAAGTTCTCTAATTTGTACTCGTTTTGTGCAAAAAATATAATTTATGATGCACCACAATCTGATATATACAAGCCAAAAAGCACATCTTATGATCATCTTGCTTCAAAATGTGGAGCTCGAATGGGATAAAACAGGTACAAAATTGAGAATATTCCATATAATCTAGAAGATTCCACTAAATTTGAAACCACAAAAATGGACGTGTAAGAAGATTTATAGTTGATGGGTGGTTGTAATTACCCAAACAAGAGGGGAATTTTGTAATTTGACTATACCTCAGGGGTGGTTGTAATTTACCCTATATAGATTTATAGATCGACGTGGCGAAGTTGAACTCGAACCAGTGGTACTTCTTTAGCTTCCGTGATCGGAAATACAGTACAAGGGGCTTTTGAGAAAATAGGATCACCATTCCATCTCCGGCTATTAGAAGGCCACCGGAAAAAAAATTGAGCGATGGTGAACCCCAAGACTAGGGCGGTGGTTAGAAGGCCACCGGAAAAAAATAGGATCACCGTTGACTACGTACTCTGTTGCTCCTTTTACCGTCTCAATTTGCAATTACACGTAAATTGGTTGAAGATTATTTGTTCACCATTGAAAGTTCAATTATGTCACAAAATCGATACGTAATTTTGGAGCATTCATATGCGGGTGATGAGATTTCTATTACAAACGGTAAATTGATCACATGGCCGAAGAATATATGAAATATTAGTATTTAAACTAAAATTAATTATTAAAAAAAACAATTTTTTTAATATTTAAAAAAAATCGATAATTCGGTTATTTAGCGAACCGTGCGATAAACGGTATGAAAATTTGGCGTAGCAAAACTTCGGTACGATTTTACCGAATGAACACCTCTAAATTTACCAACTGGAAGGATGTTTTGATATGAAAATATATAGTTAATGGATGATTGTAATTATGCAAACAAAAGGGTTTTTTTTAATTTCACCTTGTTTAAATGGTGGCTGTAATTTGCCGTATAAAATAATTATATTAGGTAAGTTGGCTACGTTAAATCATTAGTTAATAACTCTTTAATGATCAGTCTAACGACAAATGATTTGTAATGATTCAACCAAATGGAAATTTTATTGGTGAAATGACATACATAACCTCCTTATTACTGTTCAATAATTAAGTACAAATTAAATCATTTAATGGAGAAACCAATAGAAATTGGCATTTGCTGACAAAAAAACAGCCCCAATTTTATATATCTAGATAGGCCCAAATTAAACGAATGACAGAATTACTCTTGTCACGTGTAGTTACACCCTGGTCCAGCTACTATCTTTTTTTGCCCCATTCTACCCCTATACCAACTATTTAATTATTTACAAGGAAAATAATTACTATCAATTTTTATTTTTTTAATTAGTGGCTACTTAAGTCAAGTCACATAAACATATTTTTATTACCATGTTATTAAAACGGTAAAAATAATGAGTAAATGATAAAATAAACCCACTAGCACATTATGTATAATTAGTTATATTGAACCAATCAGCTTCACTAACGTAAAATGTTTCTTTGAGTACAATAAAAATCCCTCGTTACAAGATTATATTACTATTTCCCTTTTACTGTTTATAAGTTCTTCGATTGCAAATAAAAGCTGAGATCGGAACATCAAGGGTCTATCTGGCTAAGTTTATTTTAAACAGCTGATATACTCTTACGTCTGATAATATATTTTAAAATGTGATAAGCTGTAACATCTAATTTTTAGAATTAATTATTAGAGTGTTTAGATAATTAGCTTATATTTTATTATTACTCCTTATAAAATCTTAAATAAAAGGTGGGGGTAAATGTATTTAAAAAAAAAGATCTTATTTGTTTTCCAATAAATTATTTTTAAAAAAAATGGCAAATACTTTAGAAAAACTTATAAGTGTTTAAACATCGTATAAACTCATTTTAACATCTTATAAGCTTAGTCATTCGCTCTCTAAATTAGGCAAGTTGCGACCGAATTTTAATTTCAGAAACTAAACGACTGCATGAAGGACTTATAGCCAAAATAAAAATAATATATCTTTTTTTTTTAATAAAAAAGTAAAAAACTCACATTCAACCATATAAGTGCACTGGGACAAAACATATGCTTTCGTATAATAGTTTGCGAAACACACTAAATAATATATGGATAATAAGTATTCTTTCTTTGATTGGCGAAATAATATAGCAGGGGCATAATTGACATTTCAAGAGCGGGCGCCGACGGCATCTGCAACAAAAGATGACGAGCGAACGGGGGACCCGCGATGAGGCTGGCGCCAAATGGTGCGGGCCTTCGGATTCCAAACCCATTTATCCAATCCCACTTTCTCTATCCTCTCACGCCCACTCTCTCTCTCTCTCTCCTCGCCATTTCCATTTTCGGTTTTTCTTTTCCTTTCCCGTTTTCAGTCAACTCGATAGATACTTTATAGAAACAGATACAAGAGAGAGAAAGAAGAGAGAGAGAGAGAGAAAAAAAAAATATCCTCATTTTTTCCTTTCTGCAAATCACAGAAGAGAGAGAGAGAGAGAGAGAGAAAGCGCAAGGGTTTGCGATTTGAAGAAGAATCGTTGAGAGGAATAAGAAAATGAGAGAAATAATAAGCATACATATAGGTCAAGCTGGGATTCAGGTCGGGAATTCATGCTGGGAGCTTTATTGCCTCGAGCATGGCATTCAGCCCGATGGCGTAATGCCTAGGTATTTTTCGATTCGGCTTCTTCTTCTTCTAATTATATTTCTCTCTTTCAATTTCGTTGTGCCTTTTTAAATGGTAATTGCCGATAAATTTCCATGGTTAGGCTCCTTAATTTTTGCAATTGTTCGTGTTTTTTATGGAATTTATTTTGGGGATTTCCGTTTAATTTGTTTCAATGTCAAGTAATTGGGGGTTCCCACGGCTGATCTAGGTTAGAGATGGCATGTTTTGATGATTTTGTTTTGTTTCGACAAGTAATTATATAACTGGTTTCTGAATTAAAACGGTTAACGTTGAAGTAATTGAAACATGTTTCGAATTCTCAGATTTTTGTTTGATTTGTGAATTCTGATATACATCGATTTGTATGTGTGTTTGCAGCGATAACTCTGTGGGAGTAGCACACGATGCGTTCAATACGTTCTTTAGTGAAACCGGGTCAGGAAAGCATGTTCCAAGAGCTATATTTGTTGATCTTGAACCCACTGTTATCGATGAAGTTAGAACAGGAACTTACCGCCAGCTTTTCCACCCCGAACAGCTTATTTCCGGAAAGGAAGATGCTGCCAACAACTTCGCCAGAGGCCATTATACAGGTAATAATAATATGGTTTATGTTACTATGTCCGATGTTCTTTTTTTTCCAGTATGATTCGCCTGTTAGTTGCTAGATTCAAATATTGCAAAATTGTTTCGATGTGATTGAATTTAACTGGTTTCTTTTATGCAGTGGGAAAGGAGATTGTGGATCTATGTTTGGATAGAGTTAGGAAGTTGGCTGATAACTGCACCGGTTTGCAAGGGTTTTTGGTCTTTAGTGCTGTAGGCGGTGGTACAGGTTCTGGATTGGGTTCCTTGCTACTCGAACGGCTTTCTGTTGATTATGGAAAAAAGTCAAAGCTCGGTTTCACCATCTATCCTTCTCCACAGGTACTCAAACTTAATTTTTTTTGAGTTATATGGTACGACAGTCGATAAACGGCCTCCAAATTACAAATGTCGTAAATACAAACTTGAATTATATATGTGCTCTATTCTCGATTGCAGGTTTCCACTGCAGTTGTTGAGCCTTACAACAGTGTTCTTTCAACACACTCCCTTCTCGAACACACAGATGTTTCGGTTCTTTTGGACAACGAAGCTATTTACGATATTTGCCGGAGGTCTTTAGATATCGAGAGGCCCACGTATACCAATTTGAACCGTTTGATTTCTCAAATCATTTCTTCACTAACTACTTCACTAAGGTTTGATGGAGCCATAAATGTAGATATTACAGAGTTCCAGACCAACCTTGTACCATATCCACGTATCCATTTCATGCTCTCGTCATACGCCCCTGTGATCTCAGCTGCAAAAGCGTACCACGAGCAATTATCGGTACCTGAAATTACGAATGCAGTGTTTGAGCCATCGAGTATGATGGCGAAGTGCGATCCGAGACATGGGAAATACATGGCTTGTTGTTTGATGTACCGTGGAGATGTTGTACCTAAGGATGTCAATGCTGCTGTTGGAACCATCAAAACCAAAAGGACTGTTCAGTTTGTTGACTGGTAAGAAATTTTCGTACACGTTTATCGAATTGATTCTGAATATCTTCGATTATTTTATTCTCGAAGCTAAAATGATAATTTAGAAGATGAGTGTATTGACAGCATCCACTTCACTGCATGTTATGTTACCTTTAGGGGCTCGTTTGATGGAAATGGTGTGATACATAGGAAGTGGTTTCATTCATTACAAGTGAATTGTTATCTATGTTTATGTTTGCTAGCATATATTAGAAGTTGCGATTATTTTCTATTTTCCAAATTTGTCCATGCATACTAATTAATGTTACCAAATAGAGGGTTATATTGGTAATGTAGGAAGTATTATTTTATTAGATATCATATGAAGCCTTATTGGCTTTGACCCATTACCAAACAAATTACTTGATTATGTTGGGGCCAACAATAATTCACGTTCCTCAACCATTCTATCAAATGAAAAATTAGCGTTGATTCGTGATAAGCAATATATCAAGGCTTATCATGCTTATGAAACGAGACATTAGTTTCTTTCTCATGATTTTTTTTTAATGTTCTTGCCTTCTACTTTTGGGAGTGGCATGTGTAAATGCACTAAACTAAGCTTTTTGGGTAATTCGATCTAGTCCCAGCTAGAGCATGTGCTAACAATAAAGAAGCATGTGCAGTTCTTGGTGGCCTAATGGTCTTGCATGTTTAAAGTTATTTGTTCTTAGATTATGATATGTTTCTTTTCCTTTTTATTGCATATATCCATTCTGAAAATCTCACCATATTTGGATTTAACAGGTGCCCAACTGGCTTTAAGTGTGGAATTAACTATCAACCTCCGACAGTTGTACCTGGTGGTGATCTTGCTAAAGTACAACGAGCTGTGTGCATGATCAGCAATAACACTGCTGTTGCAGAAGTGTTTTCGCGTATTGATCACAAATTCGATCTCATGTACGCTAAAAGGGCGTTTGTTCATTGGTATGTCGGTGAGGGAATGGAAGAGGGTGAGTTTAGCGAAGCCCGTGAAGATTTGGCTGCTCTCGAAAAAGATTACGAAGAAGTTGGTGCAGAGGGTGTTGATGAAGAAGAGGAAGGTGAAGACTATTAAATGTAATTGGCATTTTCTTTTTTCAATATTTTTACCATCATATTGCAAGGGTTGCCTTCTATTCTTACCTTAATTTGTGTATTATCGTCGTTTACGGATTGCTTGTGTGTGTGTTTTTTTCCTTTTGTAAGAAAAAACTTGTGTTTATTCCTGAGTGTTGAAAGTTTCTATTAATGATATCATAGAATGTGTTGATTTGTTTTTCCCCTCAAATTCAAATGCAACCTTATAAAACTATCATGAAAACTGGCAAGTAGCTGGTAGCAAAATTGCCAATTATCATAGTTCAAACGGACATTTTATCTGCATTCGTCTCCCGAAAGAAAAAAAAAGTTTTAACACTAAACACTAGCAGGAAAAACCGACACAATAATGGCAAAACGGTAAAACAGGAAGAAGAAAAACATCACATGCTATGGCAAAAAAGATGTACACTGCCCTATTTATACAGATTTACCAACACCATTCATTACACCAATATATATATATATATCATTTCCATAACTTATAGAAGTAGGTCAACCTAACAAAAAACCATAAACTAAACACACCCAAAAAGACAGCGAACTGAGAGTCGATTCCAACACCAAAAAGTACACTTCCACCGAACCAATCTGTTTGTATGAACCCAAATATACAAGAACCCTATTCCCGACATTTGGCTGGAGGACCTGCAACACGAAGATCGGATAAATAGATACAAACATCATAGCGAAAGAACGAGTAGTATTACACATAAAACTGTCTCAACAATCATCAAATGTTTTAAAAAGTTTGAGAAAAATACCAATGGAATAATTCAATCAGTCGCCACCAAAGCATTGAAATCTCAAACTTTCGGATTCAGGGTCCAAACTCTCGATATCCCCTAAAGATTAAGAGCAAAAAAAACACATCAATTCAAATCTTGGTAGTTATTTATGATGAGACAATAAAAATTTAAAAAAACTCGGAGATTGATGAATGCTTATATGATGCTGCTCACCACCGGGGTCCAGTAAGTTGTTGGCATCTAATGATTGGAAGGGAGGCCTACAATAACTGTCCAGTAAATCTGAAATTGCACACACAAGTGTCGTCAAATACTGAAAACAACCATAAAATATCTACACTCCATATAAGAAAGATAAGACTCGAATCACGTTATCATTTCAGAATGGTACAATCAAAAATATGAGCCAACTATGGTTTTATCCAACCTCAGTTTTAACTGGAAAAAAACACAGTACTTTGTGAGAATGTGTGTCTGTGTGTGTGTTTGAGAGAGAGAGAGAGAGAGAGAGCACACCAGAACCATTAGCGAAATCATTTGTAAACTCAGGGAGACTCAACATGTGCTGAAGCTGCGAGAAAAAACCAAACGAGGGGGCATCACCGTCCAATAGAGCCTCGTTTAAATGCACGGCATTAGAATCAACGCTACTGAAAGACGAGACGGATGGATCACCCATCAGAGGGCGCTGTGTTTCCAGATAATTGTTGCGTGGATTGAAATCGAAATGTGAACTACCAGCAGCATATCCCGTTTCCGCTTTCACAACCTTCCCATTCATCGTATGTTGAGCAGCCAATCCTCCTAGGTTTGAGTTTTCAGACAAGAACATGTTCGGAGAAACATCAATATTTCCATTATTAAGAGACGCCATATTTCCATTATTAAGAGACGCCATGTTTCCATTATTAAGAGACGCAATCTTTCCGTTATTTAGAGACGCAACATTTCCATTATTAAGGGACACAATCTTTCCATTATTAAGAGACACATCGACTACAGTTCCTTGCACACACGAACGTACAGCAGATCCACAATTCTGCTGAAACACGTTATTTGGTATATTCTCCTTCTTCAGATGTCGAGTATCTAGTGCAGCACATGACGTGGAGGAGATATGCTGTGCTGTAAGATTAACAAAAAGGAAATGGTATTGCATATGTTTTAAGACGAGATTCGTAACAAAAAAGTAATTATCTTTCACTAATATATGGTAGTTGATGGAAGAGAACTAATAGTGACAGATTAATTCGTGAAGTAAAAATGCTAAAAAAGTTAAAGTGTTTATGTCGAAAGAAGTCTTACTTGGTAACACCAGCGATCCGTTAGACGGGAGCACCGGAGAAACCCCAGTTAATCCAATTCGATGCATGAGTTCCACCTGTTCGGAAAGCAACCTGTTGAATTCCAATATTTGGTCCTTGACCAACAACTTGAGATAATAAGCCTTGAAAAATTCTTGATTTTCTTCTTCAAGCCTCTGCCAAACTGGAAAATCAAGCAGCAAATACTACTAACTGGAGGGATATGCGTGTAAAATGTAAACGTACAGAACCCCAAGATTCTTACAAGACACGAAAAAAGCACAAGACAAGCGAGACATGAAATTTGTGGACAAACCAAACATTAAGATTGGCAATACTCCTCTAATAGAAGAGCAAACGGATGATTCATCTTTGAATAAGAGTGTATGATAGTATAATACTGGGAACTATAGTATACCTATTTGCTATTCCTGGAGCAGTTATTTCTATTAATCTAAATCATTTGAAAATTAGGTTTCAATATATATCTAATCATGATTGGACACATATTGCAAGTACTTCAACACTCTACAGTTGAATTTGGAAGGACAAATCAAAACAATATTCTACAAGTAAAACAATATGACGGTGAAAATATGAGTTCTAGCTCCGTAAGGCACACGTGAATTTAATATTAAGAGGAAAGTTCAGAAAATAAACAAGAGTGGTTAAAAAAATAATCTTATATTTTCGACTGGGGAATCACACTACGTGCTCGAAGGACGAAATCTGTAAGACTTGAGATTTAAGCAAATCAAAACTCATATTTCGATTCTCTTGAACTGCAAGAAATCGAATAGCTAATATAATGACCCTAAGATTTAATCGGTTTAGTGTTAGTGCGAGCTGAGTAACGTTTTATTGGTATTCGAGGATTTATCAGCAATAAACATCTGTAATTAAACCAATAAAACTACCTAGTTCAGTAATACACGGCTGAATGTTGTCCTGGACGATGAGAGTATTCACAACTTCCTTTTTGTTCATGTAATGCTGGAGACATTGTTCTATTCGATTTTGCACCTGAGATAAGAAGAGATCCACTGAAATTAATAACAAACTAGCAGGCATTTCACAAAAAAAAAAAAAAATCATATTTTCTCACCAAATGTTCTCTCCTTGTAGTCAACGAGGAAAAAGTGTCGTGTGAAATAACAGTAAGATTCTTTATATAATGATTAGAGTAATTAAAGAAGCTTCAACACAGTATATTTCAGATAAAGAAACAGATTTAAATAATATTCTTTCAATAAACCAATCTCGTCTAAACTCATATACAGTTTCATATAATCAAGCCATTGTTTTCAGAATATCTAAACCAGCTTCACCTCCAAACCAAGCCCCGATTCATTAATTGTGGGAGGAGTCTAGTCCTCTTTTAAGCCATTTCTACTGTTCATATGAGTTGCACAATGTAAATAACAGTTTTCCTTCATACAGCTGAGAGTGTAAATACGCGGTGACGATGTATTTTCATTCAGAAAGAGAAGTAGAGTATAATAGAGTAAAGTTATATAGGACATAAATCCTCCTCAAACTCGTTTATCTGCAGGCAATACTAACGAAAAATATGTCACCACCCAAACTCACTGCTTAGACTGGGCTGCTACTGATTGGCAGATATAAAATCCATTTGCAATGCACAATTCACGAGCAAAAGATGAATCGAAACCAAACTCTTCAATCCTTTCTCGTTTTGCATCCAAAATCTTCGTATACCAATACTAGTTCATTGTTTCCGTTTTTCATCTTCTATTTTACGAAATATAAGTAGGTGTACTTAGTCATTGAAAATAATGCAATCTCAAAAGCTTACCAGTTGTATATCTTCATTTGAGAGTTTTCTCACATCCCCACCTGACATGTTCGTGATAGTGACCTTAAATGCAATCAAATTAATGTGCGAAACGATTCTGTCACCAATTTGCAAACAGAGAGTACCTGAGAGAGAGGAAATGAAAAATTGTAAGTTCGTATTTAAAGGAACTGCAAAACAATATGCATACAAAAGTTGCCAATAAATTAAAGTACAGTCACAAAAAACTAATTTCATCAAGTTCGACCGTAAGAAATAACTTGATCGTTAATTTCCACTATTTCCCATCCATTCAAGAAATAAAACAAAGCACAAAAACCCGTCCTCCCGTTTTCTTTCTTCCTTTCTAACTTCTTATTCTCCGTTCTTTCCATTTAATTAATTTTTTTCAGTTTCTCATTCGCAAAATTGGACCACCGAATGTGGCGCACACCGACAACGAGAAAATTAAAACTCACCATTAATTAATTAATTACAACAACTCCTTCCTCTCAATAACTTAAATATTCTTCGGCGTAAACGAAGAAAAAGGGTTTACGGCTTTGAAATTAATAGCAGAAAAAAAATAATCTTCTACATTTCAATTTCTCATCTAAAAACAGAGGATAAAGACAGATGAATGAAAATAAACAACCGACAAAAAAAAAAAAAAAAAAAAAACTCACAGAAAAGATCACTTACACACATTAAAATAAAAAAATAAACCCAGGAACCCTATTTACCGCAAATGGCAAACCGAGCAACAATCGAGCAAAAAATTCGAAACAGAAACGTCAATTAAACACAAAATCGCAGTAATTAATGAACTGGGCATCATAATTTGGCCCTTTTTTCTAGACAAACAGAATCTAGTTAAGCAACGAATTGATTGAAGAGGTAGTAAATGAAGAGAGAAAAAAAAAGGGGAAACAGAAAATACCAGAGTGAATTGAAGAGAAATAGTCCGAATTAGTGAAACAAAAAAGAAAAAAGAGAGGAAAGTGGGTTTTGTATAGAGGTTTTGTATGAAAGAGAATTTGATTCAAATGTTTCCTCTTTTTATTGTAGAAAGGGAAAGCTATTCTGATGACGTGGCTACACACCCATTACATCCCCTTCCCCTTCTTCTTCGTGCTTTTCTCTCGTGTAATTCCACTCTCCTACTATTTTTTCTTTTTTTTTTTTATATTTATATATATATATATATATATATATATATATATATATATATATATTACCCTTTTTTTTCTTTTTTTTTTCTTTTTTTATTTAAAAAAAACAATCTTGCTTTCTTGATATTTTTTTTTTCCTAAATAATGTTGAGTAAATATTATTCATCTCACAAAAAAAAAAAAAAAAAAAAACAAATCTGGCATGTTTGGGTAATTACAATCAGCCCCTTATACTAGGAATTCTCTTACACGTCCACTCTTATGATGTTAGATTCAACAGAATCTTCTAGATTCTGTGGAATGTTCTCTGGTTTTTAGTTTTTACTTGTTTTGTGCAAAAATGCAGTTTATGATGCACTACAATCTGATATTTACAAGTCAAGAGACACATCTTAGTGATCATCTTGTTTCAAAATATGGAGCTGAATGG